ATGTCAAAATAGGAGAAAGCTTAAGTAATAGTACATGTAAATAAACTGTTGAACCTAAAACGAACAGTACATTCTATATCATTAAAGAAAATAATACAATAATAAACTTACACAAGGCTATACACGCTGTCATTGCAAAAAAAAGTGTTCCACGAATAAATGCAGTTGTAAAAGCAAGGGACTCTTGTGCAATTCAAAATGCCATAACAGTTTAAGTTGTTGCAATAAATAAGATTGTATAATGTTAATCACATAATTTATGTGTAAGTATTGTATTATTTTCTTTAATGATATAGAATGTACTGTTCGTTTTAGGTTCAACAGTTTATTTACATGTACTATTACTTAAGCTTTCTCCTATTTTGACATATTAAAAAGTTGCCTTTTTGTCTTAACGTAATAAAAATATTTTTATTCAACATTCACCATCAGCGCATTCTGAATGTTGACATTTGCCGGTGTAAGTGAGAAATAACGATATTTAGCAAATATTTCGGACATACACGAAACGACTGTGTGAATGTTGACATTCGCCAGATTTCGGTCATTCACAGTAACATATACATAACCCACAGTCAGCCCCTAAGCTATCCATATCTAATCTGGATTTTAGTGATAGATTTTAGACTGTGTACATCATACTTCTCCTGATAACAATCGAGTCATGCCGATCATCTAACTCCGTTCTCGAGAAAATTTTGAATTGAAAACACGAGACCTCCGGTCCAGACCGGAAGTTCCTGTATAGGCCACCTCCGGCCCTACGCTTTTCATATTTGGTCTCGATTTTCATCTAACTCTGTTCTCGAGATTAACGGACAGATAGACAGTGGGAATGTATTGGACAGCAATTTTAAAATTACAGCCCAATAAAATTAGCTCTTTTCAGTGAAAAAGCTTTTATTCCTGTTGATAGTAGATAGCCTACATATATATTTAATTATACATTAAATTTGTAGGTATACTTAGATAAAATACAAAATTTTCAAATATTTTTGCATCTTTTATTTTTGGCCAAATAATATGATGAATGTATTAAGATTTACAACTTCGTTATGACAGAATATTTTAATGAGTTATTTTTACTTTTTCTGGCTGTTATGTATTAACGTAACAAGGGGAAGTATTGGAATCGTGTCAATTTTGATCCCCCGAGTATTTTTTGTTAAAACCTCTACACCCAAAAAGTCAAAAGAATTTCGTGGATGTGTATGTTGGCGTCTATTTCGTTTATCTCAGCAGGGGTGAAGATTAAGAAACGAAATTTGGCACGGTAGCTTGTGTATAAGAGGCATTGATACTACCAAATTTTCGACTACTCGAGATATGACACAACCTCCTCTATCTTCCCATCCCGCAACCTATAACTACCAAAATTTAACAGCATTAATTCCCTTAATACACAAACATACCTGCAAAATTTCAGAAATTTTCGACAAAAAGCACCGGAGTTATTAATCTTTGAAGAGGATGAACAAAATCGTGTCCCCAATACAATCCATACATACAAAGAAAACCCTCGGAATTTTTTGCATTTCTCGACGTTTGAAGATCCTCTGATTCCAAAAATGTAAAAAATCTTGAGGGTGTCATTTTTTGACCAATCGCCATACTTTGTCATATATAACAGAGCCGAAAAAGTAAAAAGTGTCAATCGTCTATTTTATATTTCTTCTTTCTCGGCGATCGTTTGTCAAAGTCCACTGGCTACTTTAAGTAAAACTAATTTCTCGTGTATCTCAAAATGTTCACAATTTATTTCTTATATGTTTTTATATTAAAATAAAATACTAAATAATAAAATTTCAAAATTTTAAGATATTGCTGATCTGAAAATGTATAATTTAACATCTACTACATTAAAAGTATCATCAAACTGGTATTCTGGTGACGATGTTATTCCTCCAGTTTCACAATCTTTGCAGGGATCAGGTAAGAATAATTTTAAAATTAGTACAGTCATTTTTAATTTATTTCTTTGTCTTAATTTTATCGTGTTTTATTTTCTCTCGTTTTCTAAAACCATTTTACAATTTTTATTCGTCATTTTTCGTGTATGCAGTTACACATTTATTTACGTTTTTAAATTTCAGGATCATTTTAAGACTTTTTAAGAAAGATAATAAAAAATAAAATATTTAATTTTGATAAAGCATTAACGCTTATATATTAAAATATATTTTCATATTAATCTTAAACATTTTTCTGTAGTCTCCCACTGCATCCAGGTCGATCCGTATAGTGAGCCTATATTAGAAAACTTTAGGATACATTTAAACTGTTAATAATGTATTTAAAATTTCTGACATTTCTTTTGGAATCAGTAATATATAGTTGAAACTTTCTATCTTGAATCTCACGAGAACGAGAAAAAATCGAGATAGACAGGTTTCGAGATATAGTGGTTCCTATGCAATCATAGCGTTTATAGACATAGAGAAGGCCTACGACAACGTGAACTACTGGAACATCAGATTCCTCAGTGATCTGAACATTAAGGTCAATCGGGGATAGGCAAATACTATACCAGCTATGCAAGAATCAAACTGTAGTTAGAGAAAGAGAAGAAGAAGAAGCCAATATAATGAAAGGAGTAAGACCCTTGTATTACTCCCTTCATTATATTGGCTTCTTCTTCTCTTTCTCTAATTACAGTTTGATTCTTGTTTACAGTTTGATTTGGACTATCACTACTATTGTTCAACGTATACAGAAGAGGCAATGAAAGAATCCTACGCTACTAATACAAAAGGTATAAAAGCAAACGGAAAGATGTACAGCACAATAAGATTTGCTGACATCGCAATGATAGCGGAAGATGTAGACGATCTACAGATAGCAAAATTTAAACGAACAATTCAAAAGATGTGAAATGAGAATAAATAGGAAAAAAACGAAGATAATGAAATGTTCGAAAAAAAAAGGAACAAGGAGGAATGAACGCCTATTTGGACGGTGAAAAAATAGAAGTCAATGAGTTCACGTACAGTACCTAGGAAGCATAAATACTTCAGACGGAAGGAGTTACAGCCCAAGCAAAACAGGTATTCTATAGGAAACGACAGATGTTAGCATGGAAAAATATATCAATAGATGTTAGGAAGAGATTCATTAAGAGTTTCATCTGAAGCATAGCATTGTACAATTCGGAGACATGGACACTCCGAACAGCGAAGAAAAGAAAACTGGAGGCCTTTGAGATGTGATACCGGAGAAGAATGATGCTAGTGTCGTGAACGGAGAGAAAGAGGAATCAGGATGTTTTGGAAGAGGCAACAGAGAAGACAGATTTTGAGAACTATACAGAAAAGAAATGACATGATTGGCCACATAATTCGACACTCAGAATGGTTGAATGTTTTATTCAGAGGGAATATGGGGACGTGGAAGACCCAGAGTGGACTATCTCGACGAGTTATTACGGAAAAGGCCTTACCAACAGATTAAACAGCTAGCTAAGCGAAGAGAGAAGCTATAAATAAGACTGCACACATCTATGTTTGCCCACCAACCATTGGTTGAGGAGAGAGAGAGAGAGAGAGAGATGCAATAAGAAGTAATAGGTTCGATTGGAGGTATATACTATATATGCTATTGTATTTTATTAATGCAATAGCAGGTACAGTACATACCTGCATTAGGTGTAAATAAAATATTTTAGATATATCTTAACAGAAATAGTTTCTCAATAGTTTCTGATGCCAGACTTTCTTCGACCAATAAGACACAAGCCAAAATCGTAGCAGATCGGAAAAAGGCAGCATTGATTGCAATTATATATTACATTGTAATAGCATAAATTGTATCTAATAAACGTCTATCAAAATGTAGTCGCTGAGTTTTAAATTTGTAATTGACACTTCAGTCCATAATTTGAGATATAGAAGTTTAGGAGAAAATATTTTGAGATAAACATGGAATATATACTGTATTGAATTATGTGTACAATGTAAATATATATAGGCCTATATATATTCAATATGTAAAGAAACTACTGTACTTAAAATTATGATACAACATCCAAACGAGATGTGAGAGCATGTTGCCAAATTTTGAATAGCCTTTGTAGACTATGGCTGATTTCTTGATTAAAGCTTTGGAATTCTTCATTTGGTTCGACTTTTCTTCATTTACTTATTAAAAAACAACTGTTACCGTCTGCTTTCAGTATTTATTTATAAGCTTGTTTATCAAAATAAAATCATTTTTTATGTTTTATGTTATGTCTGTCCCAGTTTTTAAATAAAAAATGCGCAAATTTTTTAAAATACGTTCTTGAAATAAAGAATTTATTTTTAACAAATGAGGAATTTATACAACTTATAATGTGATTGGATGAAGAAACTGACGGAAAGCTGAACAATGTAATAATGAATGCTAATTATAAATCTAGATTATTGGGTTTATTGAATCTAGGCGTCAAATTTTGCATTTTTGCAGAGAATAAGAGTTACTCAATCTTGATAGCTAAGAATAAATCGGCGGCGGGCTAAATTAATAAATGAGGGCAAGATGAGAAACTTGTATAGGTCTATATATATAGGCCTGGTATTAGTATGATTGCTTACACGAACACCTTCAACTTCATCATTTTAATTTTTCCGCTTTTCCAAGCTCGGTGTAGGCGATTGTTATTAATTTAAAATGTTAAAAATAGGTTTACATTATATATTAATCGAGAAACAGAAGGGAAACACATGACAAAAAATTATGTCAAAGAGAACAAGATTATAACAAATGAATAGTATTTTCCTACTTTCCAGCCAGCTCTATTAGTTACAGTCCACGTGTAAAAAGCAACAGTAGTCTGAGTTTACGTGATGAAAGATTCTATGTACTACATTTGGGTAATACCGTACTAAACTAAGGCTATTATAATTTGTAGGTGACTTAACCTCCTTACAGTCTTACGTAGCGATGGCACTGAAATAATTAGAATGTATGCAGTATTGTACTTGGACCTCTTGCCATTCATCAGTACGACCAAAGAAACAAAAAATGTTCTTGATACTTAGAACTTTTAGCCATAGAAACTTTTTAAACTCTTTCCGTCCTGTGGGAGTGTGGGCACTAAGAGGGCATATTAGTAAGTCCCTTATGGGTTCGGCCAGGGGCCTTATGGCGACTTGTCCATACGGGCTGTATAAAAAACTCATTGCTTATAACATGTATTCTTAATAATAATTAAACAACAGTAAATTGTCAGATTCTTTATTAAATTTTTGTCGTATTGCAGCTGGTAAAACCGTAGGTATCATTTTGGCAATTTTTATTGGAGCAGCTATTTTGCTAGCATTGTTTATGATGTATAAGAAAAGAAGGTAAGCAGAAATTATATCGTGGAAATTAAATACATTATTATAACTTTAATTAATAAAGTATTCTTAGGATACCGGGATTTGCTTTTGCACGATTTGATTCCGACGGCAGTAGAATTGAAGTAGAATTGGGTACTACACCTCACGCGATGTTAGATCCTTCATCGTCATCCATTCTTCCTGTTCAGCAAGCCGAAGATAAAGGTTTTGATAATCCAGTCTACGATAAATCGATGACATCATTGGTAAATAAATTTTAATTTAACGAATTAAAATTTCGGAAATAATATAATTGTGTATTAAAATATTACACGAAATTTTCAGGAAAATCAGTCGTACATAGAAGAAATCACAGAAGGCAAAATATCGAAAACAACCGAAACTCGAGAAAATCCCATGTTTATGATTTTAGACGAAGATGGAGAAAGCTCCGATTTAGTCAAATACTAAATTAAATACAATCAAAAAGTGTTTAATACTAAATAGATTCCTAATATAAAAATTTGCCTTCGATCAAACTCAAACTTTGAGAGTAAATTTTTATGAATAAAAAAAAAATTAAATTTATGAAAAACTGAATACAGGTAATCCCCGTATGACAAGGTGCTTTTATAGCACGGGTTCATTCTAACACGGTTCGGGAATTGGGTAAAACCCTCGTACAACATGAAGTGTAATAAAGGGTGCGTTCTTTTATACCTCCGCGTAACTCCGCGCGAGCATTCTAATTGTTTTCGTGGCTACTTTGAATGCTCTTTTAACAAATAATCCATTTAATGGTTAAATTATACAATTGGAACCCTTCTTTTGCCTCATATTTGCCTTCTTTTGTCTCATTTTAGAATTATAGATTTCTCCACATGATACTATCGATAGTGCGGGCGCCGCCATCTTTCTTTCACCGTCGTTCCTAAATGCCTACAAACAGCTGCGCAATTCCGTTGCAGAGCGACCGCTATTAACGAACGCACCCAAAAACTGTTACCAGTTGATGATGCTCATGCTGAGATGATCATATAAAATGAATAATCCTCTGGTAAAATGTTTACTTAAATAATAAATAAGTATTTTACCTATGAAAAAAATGAATAATAAATCCGATTTAAATAAGGATTTAACAACATGTTTTCTAATTTTTGGAACCTAACCTCCCTTTTCGCACTAGTTCTTTGTTTCGTATAACACGGATTCGCATAACACGGCAATTTTTTTGGAACTTAACTCCCGTGTTATACGGGGACTACCTGTACAGTATAAAATTTATTAGAGAGGTTGCGGCCAAAGTCTTCATCTCTAAAACGTAAACGTCGAACGTTCACGTTTTAGAGATGAAAAATTCGGCCGCAACCTCGCTATTTTTTTGAGTTTTAAAGCGTTTTTATATATTCGCTCAATTTTAAAATTTTATGCAAAATCTGAAAATAAATTTAATGTGAACGTTTAACAATATCAATTAAAGTCACTAGCGCGATAAAATGTCAGCCTACGCTATCATTTATTATGGGTAGTAGTAGTACGAATCGGGGCTTTCTTTTATATTCTTTGTTCATACTAATTGACAAGGTTGGACTGGCTCATCTCGCTGGACAGTCATCAAAATAATAATTTAATACAAGATAACATAATAAAAATGAAGCAGAAATAGTTTTAGCAATTCTATATTAAGTTTATATTGTAACCAGAGGGTCGGCACCTCTTTAGTGCGTCGGGACTGACACCACTGTCTTCTAGGATAGACACAGAAACCTTAACGGCCGCAAATTCGGAATTCGCGCGAGCGGTCACGTGCACGGGCGATCAGATTCGGGATGGAGGATTGAGAGACGGATCGGAAGTGAATCACTCAGATACAAGGTTAACAACTAAAATAATCGATTTAATTCAACAAAACATAGTTCTATGCTATGTTATAACGGCCGAGAGAGAGTGTTTACAAGAAACCGCGAGTTGATATATATATCTTTAATTAATTAATGCACTTAATGTGCGGATTCCGAATCGCTGACGTTCGTCAGTTGTTGTCGGTCGGTCGTTCGGGAGGCGTTAATTTTTCTTTTCCTAGGACGGCAGTGAAACAAAGGGAAAGTGAAGGATAAACTAATCCGGGGAGTTCGAAGGTGTCAAACAACACAGAGTATGAATTCCTGGATACGATACCTCTTGGGTTTTTCAGGGCACTTGATTGATGCTCTCGTGAACTCTCGATGACCCCTTATCCTTTAGTCACTCCTTTTATACCTCCAAATCACGTTATCCTTTTTCACCAATCGGGAATTTTTCTCTTAGTTTCCAGTGACACATTCGATGAGTTCCCTGGGAAAGGAAACGACTCCGGAGAGAGAGATTCGATCATTCTCCGGTAATAAAAATGAGAAAAATTTTTCGAAAGACGAAAAATGAATTTTTCTGTCAAAATTCTTGAGGTCCGGTCTCTCACAATATCAAGAATCCCGTATTCGTCTCTTTTCAGTGTTGCATTGTTGAGAACAGACTCCACTCGAGATATGACACGACTCTCTGTATCGCCACACCTCGACTTTTAACCACCAAAATTTAATAGCATCAATATCTCAATACAAAGACCTTCCTACAAAATTTAAGAAATTTACGACAAAAGTGGGTCAACAAAATTGTGCACCCACACCAACACTGCACATCCATACGTACAGGAAAAACACCGATGTTTTTGCATTACTCGACATTTTATAGTTTCGAGTCCAAACTTATAAAAATCTTGGGGAATCATTTTTTGACCGATCGCAATACTTTCGCTCTGTTATATCAGAACCAAATAAACGATGTCATTTTTTAACGTGAATAAAAATGCTTGTATTTTTTCTTGAAAATTTTATTCATCAAAATATTCACCTTTACATTCAATTACTTTCCCCAATGGGAGGGCAGTTTGAAAATACCATTTTTAGCATTAAAAATTAAGTTAATTCCTCTTTTATAGATGCGTGATTTGTAAATTTTTATCCAGAATATAATTATCCAAAGATAAAGTTTGGTACTCCTAAAGAGATGTCAGCAGAATATAAAGGATTAAATAAAAGTTCCCATCCAATTGCATTATTTTGTTTCTTATAATTTCTGCAATGTGTGGGTAAGCGTTTCTTGTAAACACCTCGACGATTCGCCAAAGATGGTTGTTTTAGCTTTAATTTGTCAAGTACTCTTTGTAGTTGCTCACTGTACAAATCTGCGAGGGTTTGACCAACGTTCATGTAATCGTGATGAAACAATACTCCTCAAAGTCCAAATACAAAAAGTTTTTCTTTTCAGGAGTCATCCAAATCGTCAATAATGGTATTTTCAAACTGTTCTCCCGTTGAGAAAGTGTAATTGAATGTAAAGATAACATTAAAAGTGCTCAGCAAATAAACACAAAAATAAAACACCTTAATTTGTTTCTGAGAAAAATATATAACTGAAAACAAACGTTTTCAGTTTAACAGATTAACAGGCCATCATCAGGTCAAAAACGAAAATGAAACAGATACGTTCCATGTATAGAATACAAATATTTAAATCAAAATTTAGAACAAAAAAATTTTTTTTAATATACAAGAGAAACGGAAGAACATAAAATTAACACAAAATAAAATTAAAAATAAAAATATCATAAATCTTCCAATAAACTAATTCTAGCCCGAGATTTTAGTGAACTTTTTAACCATGTACTTCCACGCCGACGACAGGCTCTCAGCATCTCTCGCATTTAAACATCCCTCACGTAGCCTACTCCTATATATCTCATTCTTCTCTGCCGTCATTGAATGCAAAGATAAATATTTTGATGAATAAAATTATTTTAAACAAAAAATACAAGCATTTTTATTCACATTTAAAAAAATGACATTATTTGTTTGGTTACCAGATATATAACAGCCAGGAAAGTAAAAATAATCGTTTTAGAAAATACATTTACAATGTTATAGCCTACACATTGTTAATAATCATGGTGGTATCCTGTCCCGTCAGATGGCCGAGGAAGAGATGTAAACAAAAAATTTGATATATTTGAGAGTATAGCGGGTTTGATAAATAACTACAGTAATTCTGATGCGACAAAGGAAATTTTACAGAGCGAAATGTTATTTTTTGCAAAAATGGACTATATGGTAGTCAAACTCTTAAGAGATGAATACGAATGTTCAGATTCTGATTCGGATGATCCAAAGTCAGGTTTAAAAATGTTTATGAAAACCCAGCAACGAGTTGTATAACTTTCCCCGCAAGAGTTAAACATTGTGTGCGGCGCCATCTCTTATGAGATTTTAATTTTTTAAATGTGTTTATTATAATTAATAATGTAATGTCAAAAAACTTACCGTAATTTTGAGGATAGAAGTAAGTTTGATAATAAAAACAAATGTAAATGCTAATAACAGACGAAATCTTCATTAAGACCATCCCCACTCGATATATAACACGAGTCCTCCATCTATCTCCCCACCCTCTCGATCTTTAACCACCAAAATTTAATAGCATCAATATTCCATATATAGAAATAACCTTTCACAGTTCAAAACTTTTGGTTCATGTAAAACTTGCATATTTTGTTGTTACACAGTTATTGCAAACATTTTACTTTGGTAGCACAAACTATTATATTTTTAGCGTATAAATTCGTTTTAATTGTATCATTCTCTCTGACATCTCGCGAAAAATCATTATTTAAAATAAATTATTACGAACTCTTTCGAAATGAAAAAACGTAAGTCGACGTCGTTAGAAACATGCTTATGTCGTCAGGATACAGCCTATTGATGGAAATAAAAAATGAAGTACTGTAATTACGGATAAAATGAGCGAAAATAGTAATTTGTTAAGACGTGTGTTAATCTAACGAGATTTAATTAATATATTAATGTTGTATATATGTATAAATATAAGTTTTAAAACTATAATTCAATAATTACTTTTCCGGCTGCTACATATGAGAAAAAGTATGATCAAAAAATGACCCCTCCAAAATTTTTACATTTTTGAACAGGATACCTTTTAACGACGAGAAATGCAAAAACATTAGGTGGTAATTTCTGTGTGTGTTTGTGGGGGAAATCACGATTTTGTTCACCCTATTTGAAACTCCAGTGCTTTTTGTCGAAAATTTCCGAAATTTTGCAGGGGATTTGTTTATTAGGGAGATTGGTGCTATTAAATTTTGGTGGTTAAAGATCGATGGGGTGGGGAGATAATGGGGGTCGTGTGTATCTGCAGTAGGGTCGGACTTGACAACGATTTTAGTCGTTATTAACATTTATAATTTTTTTTATATAAAACTCATTCCTATCCTCAAAATTAAGCTTTTTTGCAATTTTATATTATTTAAAATATAAAAAGTTTTTAAATAAAATATGATAACAGATGGCGCCACAAAAATTTTAAATATTGCCAGGAAAGTTGAGTAACTCGTTGCTGGTTTATTTTTTAATGGCAATGGGCTTATACTTTCCTTCTCCCGGCCTAATTTTCTGTCCCGTCCGACCCTGCCGGTTTGACTCCATTCTGGATCAGGCCAATCCGTAATGATTGCAAGGAAATAGCCCACTAGAAGGGAGTAAGGGTATGTCAGTGGCTACTATGGACCACTACAACGAGCGGGGAGGTAGCCTGGCTGCTTCTATAAAAAACAAATCGGTGTGTATTGCAGTTGGCCTATTATCTGTTGAAAGTGTTTCTTTGCAGACACACTAAGGTGACATATATCAACACTTGGCAACTTATTGACTATTTATTCAGTTGAATAAATAGTCAATAAGTTGCCAAGTGTTGATATATGTCACCTTAGTGTGTCTGCAAAGAAACAGCTTAATAACAACAACACGGTTTCATCAGAATCAAATGTTGAAAGTGTGTTACAGCACAATGTTATGCACCTATCTGGGGAACAATTAGCAGAACAACTTTGAGCAAGGACAATAAATCATCAATATCGATTCAGAACCAGTGATGCGACAGCAGTGCAAGTACGTACTACAGTACATAATTACAAAACGATAATTAACTAACTTATTACTTTAAAAAAATCTAATATGGTATGATATATAAGACAGGCATAGTCTTTCCATTAATAAATTTTGAAAAATAAAATTTTATAAAGTTAATAATGTTCGGTTTTCACCAAAGATAAAGGAACATTTAAATTTTTTTTTTCTTTTCCCCCATCCTACGTTACCTTCTTCATTGCAAAATAGACAATGGTCGCGTTGCATAATAAAGTGGCTTTAATACAGCTGGACAAGCAAGCCAATGGCAGACAGTTTCAGATGAAGCAGACTAGGTCATTGGTATGCTTATTCAACTGTATTAAAACTGCTTTATTAAGCACCACGTCCAATAATAGATAACATGTATTTGGACATGTTGGAGTTTTTGTAGCACCTCAATTGCAGAAGTTGAGTGATTTTCTAATAACCCCAATGTGGTGATGCACAGTCTTAAGTGTTTGCGACTTCCTCAATGCCACATTTTCCGATATATAGATTGGACGTGACGGTCCAATAACCTGGCCATCACGATCGATGGATATAATCCCTTTCGGATTTTTCCTGTCAGGCTATTTCAGAACAGAGTCTATTCAATATGTGTGTTGTACAGTACCTGATGTTGAGACATTAAACAGAAGGATAACAAGCGTTTTTGCTTCTGTCTCTGGAAAGATGTTGGAGAAAGCAAGAAATTGAATATCTGTTAGGTGTACTCAGGATTACAAAATGTACACAGAGAAGTTTATTAACATGTCAAAAAAACTTTATATCTTGCCTGACATTCTGGTAAAATCTGTTCGTTATATCTGCAATAGTTGTCTAATAAAATTTGATAAGGGAAAGACTACTCTATACAATATACTGTAGTTCTAAAATAAAAAAATATACAGGGTGTTAGAAATGTCGGCCAAATTTTACAGGCTTTACAGATGAAAACCATGAAAAAGTCGAGGCCTTTCTTTCTATCTGAAACTTAATTAGCAAATTATTGAGGTCAAAGTGCAATGACATTTTATTTTTTGAGTCTTTATAATTTATCTGTAATTAAACTCATTTACTAATATTAAACAACTCATTTTGAATTAATCCCTATTTTTTAGATATTAAAAAGATATTTTCAAAAAATTGATTTACTAAATCCAAACTTGTGACATCACAAAGTGCTCAAAATGTCCCAGTGAGCATCCATGTAAGCTTGCCAGCATCTTACCATTGATTGTTGAATATGCTCAATTACACCAAGCATATTGTGAACTGTTTCGGGACTTTTGAACAACCAATAACTTAGAACTTGTGCAAATTGGAGTGGCATAAACCATAGTTTTTAATTGTTCTCATAAGTAAAAACTCTAGAGGGCTTAAATTGGAAAAGCTTGAGGACTAAGTTACTGATCTTCCTCTTCCAATTCATCTATTCAGATACTCATTTTTAAGATATTCTTGTGCATGGTGACTAAAATTTTCTGAGTGCAGTCATGCATAAAAAATATTTGATGTCAAATATCCAGCGGATCTTGCTAAATATATTGCAGTAATATAAAATTTCTTAAAATTTTAGCCATTTTATTACATTGTAAATCTGAGTTATGAATAAATACTTCCAAATATTTTTATTAATTGATGGAATTAATTAATGGAAAGACTATGCCTGTCTTATATATCATGCCATATTAGATTTTTTTAAAAGTAATAAGTTAGTTAATTATTGTTTTGTAATTATGTAGTACATACTTGCACTGCTGTCGCATCACTGGTTCTGAATCGATATTAATGATTTATTGTCCTTGCTCAAAGTTGTTCTGCTAATTGTTTCCCAGATAGGTGCATAACATTGTGCTGTAACACACTTTCAACAGATAATAGGCCAACTGCAATACACAATGATTTATTTTTTATAGAAGTAGCCAGGCTACCTTCCCACTCATTGTAGTGGTCCATAGTAGCCACTGACTTAACCTTACTTAATTAAAATACAAATATTGATGATAATACAGGGTGATTAAATCTCGATCTATTTTGAGAAAATGGTATGGTAATAAAATTGTTTGTTTGCTGATCCAAGAAAAGAGAAAGCTATAGTTTGCACATGTTTGAGTGGAATAACATACATGGAAGTACCATCAAATCTTCTTGTTTCATAGCCTTCAAGAGATTGTGACAAATTGCTTGGCAAGTGGCATAATACTCTTTAGCTTCCTCCAGCTTATATAATACCTGGACATTTACTGCATTTTTTTTGATTTTGTAATGATCTACCACACCTGTCAGTTGTGGCACAGTGAGAACCCAGCTTAGTATTCTGACATACTCTTGTTATCGCAGTTTCTATGTGTTGAATTGTTTCATCTAGTATGATGGATCTCCCAGAACGTTGTGCAGTGTACATTACCGTTAGCCTGAATTTGGTAACCAACAGTTGGACATTGGACCTAGTAAGAGCAAACTTCCTGAATTTCTGGGTGAAGTTTGTATGTTCCTTCACTAAAATATGCGCAAACAGCAGTAATTCTCTCTTCTTGGTTCAGCATGTTTCACACAGCTTGCATACAAATGTTATCATTTTCAAAAAAATGGATTGAGTCTTTATAATTACCCTGTACTATATTAAGAATTACATATTAGATTGTGTATAATTTTATATACTCAAGTTAAATATAAGCCAAAGTAAAATGTCTTCCTATAACTACATTAAAAATTTTGTGATATGCAAGTTCTCAGAAAGTAAAACTTCTTTAATAATAGAAATTTGCACACCAATAAAGAATACATAACTTTTTATTCATCTTGGTCTAATAACTTAAAATTGGCCTAAATATCAAATACCTTTTAAAGAGCAAAAACTATCCACAGAAAAATTCACCAACTCTCTTTTTAATTCTGAACATTAGAATTATCATCATTAAAACAAGTATAAACTATAAATATAAACTTGTCTCCAAATCTAACCATTTTTTACATGAAACAAAAAGCCTTGATAACATCCTAGAAATATTTAAGTGGGTAAAGCAGTTAATGTGTAGTTAATGTGGCTTTATAAAATTATTCTATTAATACAAAATAATAACTTGAATTAAAAAATGCTTATTCCAATTTAATGGCATCAAATCCTATATTACTGAAAGCATGCAGAAAATTCTTGTTTTCTCATTCAATTAGATTTGAAACAATTTATTTCTTTCATAAATTACATAAATGCATTTATTTTGGTAAAAATGACATAAAATATAAAATTAAATGCATAATTTTTAATTTACATGTAACAGAAAAAAGATGTTATAAAAAATTATTACAAATTAAAAATATATGCAGTATATTTTTCAAAAAATATTTTTACTTTTTGAATAATATAATCATAAATTTTGTACCCATATTTAACAATAATAAATGTATTTTATTCAAAAATTGGCATTAATAATTATATTCATTTAAGGCACTGTATACCATTTATAATAATAATTATTGCTTTTTTATAAATTATTAATATAATTAACATACATAATTTTTTTAAACATTAACGTAAAAAATTTTATATAAAAATTATTTAATAAAACTCTTATTTATTTTATATACAAATCTATATTTTAAAAATATAGTAGCACTACATATTAATCAATATTAAAAATATATATTTTGTCTAAAATAGACTAATGGATACTGATAAAAAAATATTCAAACTTTTTAAGCAAAATTCTGAATATACATATTAATATGATGATATACTTCAAAATTTACACATCTATTATATGAATTATAAATGTTTAAAATTAATTTAGGTTCTACCTTATTTTAAAATATTAACAACAATTAACAATATATCAGATTTTATCTTTTTTTATAAATGAAATTTAAGTTTGTAAATAAATACAATCATAATCTGTTTCAGAAATACAATTATAATAGTCACATTCATAAATACTTTAAAATAAATGCAATTTAATGGAATATAAAAAAATAGAAAATTATTCATTAATATTCAAATTGCTTTTTGAATAATTTTCTTCTTCATTATCAACATCATCTCCAATTGCCTGAGATGTTTGAAAATTTTTAACATTGCTATCTGATGTGTTTTCTGCATTTACTATTTTATCTGAAAAGTTCATATCACTAAGTACACAAGATCCGGATGGTGCTGAACCTAGTTCATTAGTAACATTACCTTGTTGATTTAGAATAGTTACCAAAGGCAGTGAAGGATTTGATGTAAATACAACATTCCCATTAGCAGGAAATTCTGCTTGACAACTATTACTATGATTGGTATTCACAATCACAGCCATAGACGAATTCTGTTGCTGCTTTAATGGTGAAAGAAAACACTTTTTCTCTAGAAAATTGTCACCCGGTGGGGCTCTGTAATTGTTTACACACAAATTCAGTTTAGTTAAATTTTAAAATTTTAAATAGTACACTTTAATAGTATAAAATACTTTTAAAATAAAGCAAAAATTAATGAATTTTCCTCCATTAATTGTTTAATAAAAAATATATAAATGCCGCAACCATTAAAATTAAATGGAAAAAATATTCATATGTAGAAATGCTTAAGAACAATTTTAAAATGTACTAAAAGATGTTTTAACATATTTTCTAATTCAATAATCTGACTAAGTTAGACCCGATTAAAGATAAAGAAATGATGAAATTGATTTTCATAGAACTTATTATTTTTACTTACTTGATATCTGATATATTAATATTATCGGAAGCTGGTGGACCTCTCACAACCATATTTTCCATTTTAGGCAATTGTAATTTTGAAAAATCAATTTGAATAGGAGACTGCTTTTTATCTGGTTGTATTTGTTCTCGAAAGATATCATGAACCAATTGAAGATCTAATGGACTCAACTGATTTAAATTGGGTGGATGATTAAAGTCATTAGATGATCCTTAAAAGATGCAATTATTACAAAATATTAATCATTTTACACTCCATTAGTCTTATTTTTTAACAAGATAATCATACTAAATAATTTTTAATCACTGAAATTCAATTAATTATTACTGTAAAAAAAAACAATGCTTTTATTAATTTATAGGTAATATTATAATATATCGTTTTTTATTCTAAACACTTAGCACAAAAGAAGTCATTATTAATATGTTATTAACACCTGTAAGGAGTCGAAGTCTGATCATTGTTTTGTGTTTTGGTGTTATTTTTAGTTATAGTTATTTTCTTTTTGGGGTCTTTTTTTTATGACAAACTCCTAAAAAACCCCCAAAATATGCTAAATTCAAAACTTAAAATATAAATATGTAGTATGTAAGTATATTCTAATTAATGAATGTTATTCTCTGAACAGTGGCATAGCTACATATTCAAAACTTAAAATATAATTTTGTAGTATGTAAGTATATTCTAATTAATGAATGTTATTCTCTGAACAGTGGCATAGCTACATATTCAGCACCCTGAAGCAAGTAGAATCAGTGCACCTCCTTTTTCCTCTGAGGAGGTCCACAAAATTTATTTTGAACATTTAATTTCAATTTAAAACCTTACTTAATATCTTATTAATTTATTTGAGATTCAACAATAAATATAAATATAACAACAACAAATTGAATAAAACAATATACAATTCTTTAAGTACAGAGTACCTAATAATATATACTACATAGTATATAAACTGTATTGACAAAATGTATGCAAGTTTAGTTTCATAACAAATATATTATAATACATAAAAATAACTTAAAGGTGGTTGTTTTCTTGCTTTTTTGTTTGCAAATCAGTCAATCACTTTCTCCAGATTAAGTTGACAAGCTATTATTTTTTCAATTGATATGGTAGCCAGAGCTAAGACGGTGTTGTAACATGCTGCTTTTTAAATAAGTTTTGATTAATTTTAGTTTTGAAAAACTTCGTTCTCCTGTTGCTGTCGTCACCAGTAAAGTTAAAAAAAATGAGGTATGCTGCAATAATGTTGGAGAAGGTACTTGATGCTGCGATGTGAATTAATAGTAGTTCAGCAACTTCATGTATAGAAGTAATTTCTATTTACCTGAGTATAAAAACACATTTTAAACTGAAGCAGTTGAGGTTCAAAACTAGGCGAAATTTTGGAAGGATTTGCCAATTGTAACAACTCTTATCCTTCCAGAATATTTTTATCAGATGATGCAACAAGATATGCAGGTAATAATTATGTATATATTATGTCAAACAGATTCAAATCTAATATTTAATTGATTAATTAAATCCAAAAATTTTTTACAAATCTTTTTACAAAGTTTTATTTTGCCCTTTCTAAACTTGGCACCCTCATGATTCATACACCTGGAACAGTTTGCTCCAACTGCTCCACGGTAGCTATGCCTCTGTCTCTGATTATTATTATTATATTTGTCAATTCAAAATATAACATTTTAAAATTAGTTTTTTTGTTTACAGGAATGGTATCATGGGATCTGCAATTTGTACATTTAGTCTAAGCTCTATTCAAGAAGTTTTCAATGGGAAGTTTAAAGATCAAGCAACATCATCATCTGCTTGGTTACCAGTTCTCACAAGCAAGGTTCCAGAGCCTCGCCCAGGAATTTGTGTTAACGATACACAGACACTTCCAGATTATGTACTAAACTTTATTCGTGGACATCCATTAATGGATTCAGCTGTAGCACAAGATGGAAATAAACCTGTATTTTATAAGAGAGATGTAATATTTACAAGGCTAGTAGTTGACAAAATAGAAGTGGACGGAGTACATTACACAGTTTATCATGCTGGTACAAGTAAGTACAGTTTTAACATTATTAAATTTTACTAAATTTTAAAATGATTAATGTTTTATATTTATTCTAAGTTATGAACAATGTCACAATGCCCCTCCCCAAANTTTACTTCTTTAAGTCGTAAGAAGTGTTTGTTTAATTAATTAGTTTAGTGCAGATTTCATTGATTATATGAAAAAAAATTTCTTTCATAGATTGATTGTTTATTTTGTATATAATTGATCTTGACATCATTTTTGGAATATTTGAAATATATACTTACTAATTCTTCTTATGATCATTGTTGTTTATAGATAAATAATACTGTTCAATCTAATAAATATTGTGGATTTTTACTTATATAAGTGTTATTTTGGAACATTATATTTTGCTTCCCATTAAGTCCAAGCCTGGTACTTGATTTGAACCCTAAATTGTGTAACCCCCAATTTGTGTCGCATGATACATTGCACACTGTATAAATTATTTAAAATGAAATTATTATTTTGATCTAATTTTACAAAATACACTTATATTTTATTGAAATCTTTCAAAATTTTTGAAATATTCAGCATTTTTAAATCATCTTTTAGCATTAATTCAATATTTTAAAAAAATTAATACAAAAACATTGTTTTTGAATCAACATTTAATTGAAGTCCTGTTGGGTCAATTCTTTTCTTCTAGAATTTTCTAAATTATTTAATAAATATTAATTTAATTATAATTATTAAATTTAATAAGAGAAGGCATCTAATGCCTACCTCTAGTGCCAAATTACTTGGTATTTAGTAATTAGTAGTAGCAGTAATATAGCCCAATTTAATTCAGTAACTGTTTGGCTTTAATATATTAATAATCATCAGGCTTGGCAATGTTTATATATAAAATAGAATTATTCATGAATAATTCTGCCACCTTAATACTGTTATGTAATTTTTAAATATTTCTAATCACATAGATTATTAAACTCTAAAAATGTTATGCTAATTATTATTATTACTATTATTATTTTTTTTTTTTTAATGAACTATGATTTATACTGTAAACTTAATATAAAACTCAAGGTAATTAAATCAATATTTGCCATATTGAAGACTAAATACAAAAAATAAATTTTTGAAATACAGTAGAGCGTCGTTTATCCGAAAGCTGGTTATCCAAAAGCATTCTAGTCGGCAAATTTAAATTTTCGCTAGTGCTGTGGCGCTGCAATCTTCGGCTATTTCTTGGGTTACTCAAATATTTTACGTTTTTGATACTAAATTAACATCTGAAGTATAATTTTTTATTGTTTTTATATTTTTCAATATATTTATTTTGTTTGTACAAAATAAAAAAATAATTTTTAACGATACAATAGTCTTCGTTAGGCTTAACATCGACGAAAATTCAACGCGAAGCGACACGCAACGGAGAAAAATTTCAACATGGGATAAATTAATATATTTTTTCGTACATGATTCGTTATCCGAAAAATACGTTATCCGAACCACCCCAGTCCCCAATTGATTCGGATAAATGACGCTCTACTGTATTATGTTCACAATGTGAAATTTACAAATAATTGGAACACAACTGGCTCTAACAGAGCTGATATTTCTTTATACTCTCTTCTCCATCTACACTAATGCAAATTATTTAAAAATTCCTGTGATTTTCAGATTATTTTACAATGAAATTGTTAAAGATAAGATTAAAAACCTATTTTTATCTTTTTTCACAAATAAAATCAATATTGTCTTACTGTTAATATGAAGAAAAAAATTAATTTAAAATTTTGATTTCATATTTAAAAATAAAATTTTCTTTTATTAACTTAATAAATCTAAAATGTAACTATGATTATAGTTATATGACATTTGAAAGATAAATAGATGTACAGCTGTGTAAATTCAAGACCATCATGAATATATTTTTATCAATAAAAACAATAATAAACCACTACTCTTCAGCTAGTGGTTTATTATTGTTTTAGTGCAATATGAGTTAATAATTTATGCATTTTGTATTCCAGAAAAACTACACATTTCAATTATAATAAAATTTATTGTAAAGTAATTTATTTGTACTTACTTCTCAACTTTTCTACAGCATTTTCAAATTCTTTGAAATGATCAAGAACCTAAAAAATTAACAGAATAAAACTATATGAAATATGTTGAAAATATTAATATGAAAAGAAAATTGAAAGAAAACAATTGAATATTTAATTTTTCCAAATTAAAATAATGTAAATAGTAACAGTCTTGTCATTCTAATATACATATTAATTGGATAAGTTTAATTTATGACAATAGAATATAGTATTGTGTTTATGACTTGTAATTAATATTTGTAACTGTATGTACAAAATCATGGAAAAATGAAACTTCTAAATTTGTATAAACACATAAGAAATTTTCTAATAAGCTGAGAAATAACTATTTTCCTAACATATTCACAATGCAGCATGATTATACTTATTGTTATTTTTCAAATAATACATATAATTACCACCATTAAATCATGGATAAATAAATTTTGATTTACCTGAGCCATTTCTGGTCTTTCACTTTTATTTTTTGAAGTACATTTTAGTCCTCTATCTAAAAACATGTTAAACCATGGTATTCCTTCATCTCCAGCTTTTTTATCAATTATTTTTTCTCCCAAGTTTTCAGCTACACACTGCATAGCATAATCAACCTAAATATTATAAAACAAATTGCTAATCATTAAAAGAATATAGTAAATCTTTCTAATCCAGACATAATAATATTACATGAACAATTATACTATTTAATTATCAATTATTAAAACAAAATACAGTAGAACCTCGATTATCCGGACTAATTGGGATGAAGGTAGTCCGGATAAGGAAAAATCCGGATAATCGAAACAAATACTTTAATTTGTCTTTTAATGATAATACAACACATTTTCTTTTCGATGACATATCGGTATTGTTAAAAATAAATACTGTATTTAAATCGTGATCAAATTTTCAAGAGACAAACGTTCGTATTGAATTTGGACTACTACTGACCAGCACTAACAGACTAGCTATTGTTTAAAAGGCCCTCTGGTGGCTCAAGAAGACAGATTTTATAAAATAAAAAGCAGTTGAAACTGCATTTTTATGAATAAAAATTTGACAAACTATTTATTGTTTTATGACGAGTAAAATTTTTTCATCGTGTTCTCGGCTTTTAAGTAATGCATAAACCTTCGAGGCGCGAGGCCCTTCGGACCGCGANCAACCAGCTGAAAAATGTGCTGGATCAAATGGATTGTTGGATGAGGGATCCAGCAATTGCAATCCCTAGCCATTACGCAGACAGACACACGTTGAATGAGTTATATAGATAGATAATTTACCCTGTAATATACCCTATTTATAATTTATTTTTTTTAATATTAATTTAATAATGCTTCAAATACATGTTAGTAGTTTAATCTTTCTGAGTGAATCTCCATATATCCTTCTACTAGTGTTATAACACTATTGGAAGGATGTACGGAGGGAAATACTAGAAAAAGGAAGACAAGAACTAAGTTCACGGACACTATCAAGCAAAGAAGCCCCTATTAACTATTAAGTATTAAGAGTCTTATTGTAAAAAGAAGACTAACAGTTGATAAACTTGCTGCCCACCAAGCTTCAAGTTGAGAAAGAAGCTTTGTATTTATGATTACAATATTATTTATGAGGTGACATTTCTGACATAAAACAGATAAAATTATGTAAATTACCAAATAGAGCTTGTGATAATTTTCAAAACCAAAATGATTTTTAATATATAATCAGATTTTTTTTTTTTNTGTACGTCATAGGTGATGATCTTCTTTGACCAATGGTGGGTGAAGTGACTAAATATGACACAACAGTTAACTCATCTTCTACAGGGAAGTATTGTGGTGGGAAAGGAGTTTTTATGAGCGATTTTTATGAGAAAATTTGTCGGTTGTTTTTTCCTTTTTGAGTTAACCCTAACTTTAAAAAATCGTTTTGGTTTGAAATGAATAGAAATTATTCGATTCTTAGCCTTTTTAAATCCTGGGCCTCACATCATTATTACCACATTCTGTGGCAATCAATAATATTTCCATACTTGCAGTATTGGAATACAGTCCGAGTTTAGGCAATTTCCTTTCATGCCAGCTATATAAATTTCCAAAGCCTCCAAAGATCATATGACATGTTGGTCAAAGACCCTATGAAAAGGGTAGCTTCACTGCAACAGAGGCAGTGGCGTAGCGTGGGTGTCAGCCGCCTGGGGCAAAGGAAAATTTCGCCGCCCCCTTATTTAGGTATCTCAATTTAAAAGACTAAAATTCAGTTTTGTCACAGAATAAGTAATGAAAAATTCCATGCTAGTGTTGCCACCTTTTTAAAATCGCTGACCCTGATGGCAGGTGAGGTTTGTTCGAACAGAAATTCCTGACGCAGTCTCATAAGGAACTGTTTGCCCTGCCCCGCCTATTGGCACTACAGGGTTTAAAGATTCTATGCCTTGTTCATCGACTGGTCGGTACCTGATGTGGTAGACAGGGACGTCATAGCTGGGCCCTATGATGCATCATCCGGACTCCCGTCCGCACCCCGGCCCAGCTCACTAACTTGGCATAACTTTTGATTGTGCAGCCTGTACTGCACTTGTGGTCCACTGGATAAGGTTTAGTATTCTAAACCTTATCCAGCTCATACTTGTACTAATGACACGGACTTATACCCTNCTTAAAAACAATACTGTCCCCTCAAATTTCACACAAAGCCAATGTTAATCTGTGTAAGCTGAGATAATTTACAGCTAGTTTCTTAAATTTAATATGTTTATTTTTACGTTTTTGAATCATTGATCATTTGGAATAAAACAATAAAATACACAAAAAAAAAGCACCAATAGTATTTTATGTCATTAAGAAACAGACAAAATGAAGAAATTAAACATACTGTATAATCATAGTTTTTGATGTAATGCTGACAGTTTCAGTTTTAGAATAAAAATGCCTTCGTTTTTTAATGTGTCCTCTAGACAGGGATGTATAACCTCACTTTAAACTGGCATTCTGGTTTTTACCATACACAAATATCTGATTTAATGATCTCTCTGGATAGACCATCATGCTAGTCATTCCATGAAAATATGGTATCGTACATGCATGTATATACAGTATAGGTCAATGTCTGAACTGACCAATTTTTAATTTGGCCACCACTTCTCACATTGACCAATGTCCAATGCATGTGTCATGTGCTATAAATTTGTTGATTCACACTTGGTTTGGTCAGTTTGGGATGTGGCAGATGATGAATGGCTAAAACCCAGCATGTTACATCAAATGGATATGTTTGAACAAATTACAGCCAGTCTGTTATCATTCCATTCTTATCTTGTGCAATTTATAATAGTACAAATGAGAGTCATTGCAAAGTACAATGTTCTAATAATTACATTTTCAAACATCTTTTCTTAAAAGATGTCAAATTCAGAGTGAGAAGTTGTGCATAGATAGAAACCTAGCAGTAAAACAAAACTGACAAGTGACATGAAAAACTGCTTTAGTAATAAATTGAAAAAGAAAAAAGTATATTTGTGGCATCCAGGTCATCACACTGACATTATTTTCCATACATACTTAATAGAAAAAATGTTTTTGAATAAAACTAACTTTTTTAAATCTGACTTACAAAAAACATGTGGCAGAGATTATTAACTATTAGTGAGCTGAAGTTAAAATAAAGAAATGTTAAATTTTATATCACCAAATATAAAGTTGGAAATGCATAATAAAATTACAATCTATCTCACATTAGAATTTTTCACAACAACATGTTAATATAACTTTATATTCATTCTAAAGAATAAATATCAGAAATATAGTCAATATATCCTGCTGCAACATTTTACTAACTATAAACTTATAAAAATGTGTTAATAAATTACACATTTTTAAATTACAGACTGCTCTAAATCAAACCACAGCAACTCTGACTTTGCATGACAAACAAATTTTTCAAAAATTGTATTTTAATATTTCTTGATAATAGAAAATTTTGAACTGATAATACGACTTCTAACTTCTAGTTTGCACCAGAAATTCATATATAGTTAATCAGGGCCTTCTGTCCCTAAGTTTTCCATATCTGGTCTTGGCTTTCATCTATATAACTCTTTTCTCGTGATTAAGAAAAGTCAGGCAACAGTGGGAATTTATAAATCTACAATTTTTTCAAATTGCAACCCAACAAAATTACAATTAATTAGTATTTTCAATGTCTGAAAGTCTTTGCATGCCTTATAACTGCAGTCAGTAAGTTACAAAAATTCTATATTGCTGTACTGGAATGAAATTTTTTGAGCTCATTTCCTGTAATAATAAATTCAGCAGTATAACCTACTAAAGCTCAGTAAAACTTCTGCACAAAGTTGTTCATTAAAAATTTCTGTACTATATATCAAACTTCTCATTTTCCACATCATCGGAGAAAACACCACCCAATTCAGACTTTCATAAACTCGGACAACCTTCATCCATATTAGACCAAGTTTTACTTGGACTAATATGTTTAATGGTGTTTACTGTAAGAGAAAATTTTAAAACAGGTTTCTATTTCTAAGATGAGTTTAAATTTTGATAAATTTAAAATTATAATTTTTCTTTAAGGAAAACAAATTCCTTACTCTTGCCAACATTTTCTGGCCAATATTAGAATTGTATGACCAGACCCTAAAAACTAGAAATAACATTTTGTGCATTAGCTTTAACACATATATATAGTCAAATCCGATTAATTCAAACTTTATTAATCCAGATGTTAGTCAAGAGAAATAATTTTAATACCTAACACTAATTTACATATAAATTTTGTTTTTTTAATTTATATTTAAATTAGCATTAATTTGGGAATCATGTGATGAGGTCATTAAGACCCGATGTTTTAATTTTGAAATTTGCTGTTACGCTACTATTCTTACCACTTCTTTAATCTTTTACTTTCCTAAAAATGTCTAGTTGAAATTATGTTGGATAATAATTTAGTTTTTCTGATCATTATTATTAAATACATAAACCATATTGAGATCTTTTTCATCTGCACAAAGTGTGTTCCAGAGTTTGGTAAATTGAATTTTTTGGAAATCAAAATTTGTCAAAATATTAAAGGATAAAAATGTGAAATAAAGACAACATATTTTGTAGCTTCAACATTACATATTTACATACTTTAATGTGAAACTTATCTAATATGAAAGTTTTGCTGGAAAAAAAAGCTATTTATTTAATAACTTGGTACTCAAATACAAAAATGAGTTTATTCTAGTATAATTCTACATTTATATCATAGACTTATTGTTTCATTCATCACATAACAGTTGCAGTATAACAAGGCAGCCTATAATATTTCTTGTATACTTTCCAAAATGTATAAAGTCATTTTATGGCATGAAGACAATCACAAACTGAAAAGGAAAATCTCAAAGTTTGTCAAAAAAAAACTAAACACATTGTTACACCACAATCTTCCTAAAAATTTTTGAAAAAAACATTATAACAACTTTCAAAATGATTACAAATGTAATGGGACATGTAAAAAATGTCAAAAGCTTCATCATCAGAGCTACAAGGTGCTTATATGCAAGGCTTGCTATGACAATCAGATGAAAATATGAGAAACAATAACACACAAGAGAAACATACAAAAGTCTTTATGCTTGTGCATTTTTCTGA